ACAATGGGTTATACCCATAACCCGCTATGGTTTATTTCAGTGAGGTTTTCATTAGGCTTGCAAGGAAGAGGAGAGGATAACTTGGCAGAAAATTCTCTAACACATGTTCCTTCTCACCCCTGAAATACATTACTTTCCCTCTGTGAATATGATTTGTGATTGAAAGGCCTTAAATCTTACCTTTCACATTAAACTATGTAATGAACCTACTGCAGTATGCAAGAGTCCAGCAAAACAGTGAAAAGGCCAGTTTACTCTTTACTGAAAGTGGAAATTTGGGAAGAATGGAATACAAAGAAATGGGAAAAGCCCACACAGGGTCTGACCACAAACTGGTATAAATCAGTTCAGTGGTCATGTGATGGATGATGCCTTCTGTTTCAGCACATCACACCAATGTAGTAAATAACAGACTGATGAAAGATCTAGGCTCATTTAACACTGACAGATTTGTGGCAGACATGAAATACTTGACTCCTGACCACTGCATATAAACCTAGCTTTAAGGAGAAAGGAGGTTTAGGGAGATTTTGTAGCTCCACAGGCTTAGTTAAATGAAAATCTGTATTAAGGATTAAAAGAGACAATGTAACTGCTGTTTACTAACATTAATATGTATAGAATTTATTTTTAGAAATTCATTAAGTAAATGGTAAGAATCTTCTTATTCTAAACAAATTTAAATAGACTAAATTAAAAAAAAAAATCCATCTTTTGCAGGTCTAGAGTAACCTGCAATAAAAGCAGCATGCTCACAGTTGTTGCTTTAAACATACATTTCTTCCAACTATTCCTAGCAAAATGTTGTAACAAAAATTATTTTCCTTTTAATTTCTAAGATTTATTGTTGCTTTATACTCTTGTAATTGTCACATAGTACTGCTATTTGTGAAATAACTGGACATTTCCACTTGGGATCAAGCTGAAAACAAGAAAAAAAAATGATGACCTTCCATCTTCTTTACTTCTTATGGGCTGCTTATTGCAAGAAACCATTTAAGCTGTTCAGAATCTTCTCACTATGATGGATTTACTGTCATTTTGCTGAAATCCTCAAAATTAAACTTGTCATGTTACTGACTGAGGCCACAGAAATGTTCCTCATTTCTGCCCACTGTTGCCACACAGTAATTGTACGGTCCTTAATTTCACCTTGGATAATTTTCACAGTAACTGTAGCTGTCTACACTTAAAAGATGGTCTGAGGAGATACCTGGGATCTAACCCTTGCTAGAGACCCACTGGTAAGCCCACCACTGGCTGCTCTCATTTGACAAACACCATTTTACTTGCTGGTAAATCCCCTAGTTTCTATTCAGGTGAGACTACTTGAAGCTAAATAAAGCTCCAGAATGATAAGCATGTATTCCAGGAGACAGACACAGTCTTTTCCTTTGATACCTGAAGAGACACTGGATGGAACTGTGTGAGAAAGGAGAAAGAAGGACTAGACATTCTGGGTCAACCTGAAACACCAGTTAAGACTAACCTTCATGACTACAGCTATGAAGCAAGAGCGTAAATACTAAGGCAGAATAACTTGTTCCAGCAAACATTGTTAAGACGTGTCGTTTGGTGAGGGAGGAATAAAAAAGTTCAACTGCAAACCCAAGATCTTATCATCACCTCATGATACTTACCTGAAGCCAGCCAAAAGCAACTGAGGAACCTAAGTCCAGGACTAAATACTGTTGGTATTATTCTTACTTTTTATTCTTATGGTGTAAAACTAGGTGACACCAGTGACACTGGGCAGTAGAAGGTGAAGATCCTCAGACAGCACCATAAAGAGGCATTGACTAGACAAAGGTAGTGAAAAGAGGGAGAAAAACCCAAAGGTTAAATATATTTAAGCAATGACTCAACAGACATGCTTATGGTGCACGGAATATAAAGGGAAACTTGCAAAACAGAAAGAGACTAAGAAGTCTGGTATGGACTTAAAGAGACAAAGAAGAGGTAAAACTGCAATGGGTTATTCACAGATAAACTATAGAGCCAGCAGAAGAGAGAATTTGAGATTCAGATAAATTCATGACACAAATGGTTGGACCAAGCAGGAGAGACTTTGAGTGTCATGTATTAAACTAGAAATAAATTAGGATTAGGAAAAAACAAAAAAAGGAGAGGGTATCTTGCCTTGAATTGAATTAAAAGAATGAGAAAAGAAGAAATAGCGAATGAATAATTGCCCAAAGGCTGTCTTTGGTGTGATCCAACCAAGCAGTAGACAAGGAACAGCCAAATGTCACAGGTTTGGCATGGGAATGAGTAATATCCTGAACTTTGTCAACATGTAACAGAGCTTTTGGAGTGAAACTGAGCTATCCAACGCTACTCAACAGTGGTTGTATACCTCCAGTGTTTTAATGGAATGTTCACAAACAGAAATGGGGGATAACCTTGAGAGGGACTGAGTAAAGAATCTCCGGTTTTTCTATATCACTTCCATTATCTGGAAAGATTCAAGCAGGCAGAAACTGACAGTCATTGATGTGATCTTTCCCATAGCTGGTAGCTCAAACTGTAGATGATCAGCAAATCTGAACTGTTTAAAATTTCAACACAATCAAGTGTTTCAAGGCAACTATTTTCACTGTCTGTTCTGAAGCATAAGGAGTTGATTAATTTATTTAAAACTGACTATAAGTGAAATGCAAAAAGAGTTTGTGCAGATCTCCCAGTACTGAGGAAAGCATAGCAGTCTAGGTAGATGAACATGTTATGCAAAAGATATTCTGGGTCCATGGCACACATGAAAGCCTTGTAATACAGGTTTTCTAAAAAAAGTCAAGTATACTTCCTACTAGCTAAGAGGAAAAAGGCCTTAAATAAGCATGTTCAAAGTGCTCAGTTTAACAATTGTGATTTGCATCTATGAATACTGCATAAGTACTTGTTGGACAAGAATCAGAAGAACTTTGAGAGTGTGTGTAAAGCATTGAAAAAACCAAGATTACACATTTGGTATTGCCACAGCGTTCCTTGAGGCAAGCATGCAGTAAGCCTCCCACAGACTTAAACCAAAGCTCTCACAATTAGTAGCAAAGCTCCCATAGATTTGAACCCAGATTGTAGATTAGTAGGTGAAGAAGGTGTAAATTTCAGTTTGGAAAGAGAATTCAAGAAGCATGTCACGGAAATACAGGATTACATGACAGGTCAACACAAGTTGTGCATATATGCATGAAACAATGTCTGTAAATGTGTGAGCTTTTCTAAAACTTTGGGAGCAGAGGGCTAAAGCCTTTTAAGGAGTCAGTGAGGTCTTGGCTTTTAAATCAGCAGTAGACTTTTTATCCTCTGTTAGGAAGATTACCAGCTCAGGTTTTCTTGATGATCATATGACTTCAACATACACTGACTACAAGTGTTTGGTACTCTGGAATTAAAATATAAATGAAAATAACCCTAGGCAGTAACTTGAGTTCCTTCATATGCTACTTAAAGGATGACAAAGAGCTATAAAATGATCAGGGAATAGCCTCAACAGGCAGGTTTTCTTCCAATCTCCATCCCTTTTCTTTTGCTACAGATAACTTCTGGCCCCATCACACCATGTCTCCTGCAGAGAGAAAAATCCCCTCTGTTGCCACTGCAAAAGGCAGAATTCAGAGTGGTTTATTGTGGACTTTTCTGCAAATACATGTCCAAGGCAAATGTTTACAGGAGAAACAGTTTTCTGCAATGGATGGATTAATTTGATTATAGGTTTGAAACTCCTTTCTCAACTTGGTCCTAAACCACATAAGTCACTGTGAATGGCAATGGAAGCACAAGTTGGCCATATTCTGTATTCTCACCACTTACACATAAAATCCTACTGCAGATGTCCTGCAGTCTCTGTACAGACAGTAGACTCTCCTCTCACTGACGGTGTCACTGGCTGGCCTTGTGTCCCCATACCTATCTCCTAAGCTTACCTTTTAGGGGCTCTCACACCACCAAGAGGGGTCTAGTCTGCCTCTGGAAGCACAGGGAGCTGGAGGACTTGGGATCATGACACTTTGGGAATAATGAAACAAAAATGTTAAAACTAAAGACATTTGTAACTATCAATCAGGTATCTGTGTATTTGTAAATGAAAGAGAAGAGCCACTGATTTGTTACCACATGCAGTATTTAATTATTGCTGTGACACTAAGGTATGCTAAGGTTCACCTGAACTAACTGGTACTTGTCTAAAGAGTTCCTGGGAATTGGGCATGGGTGCATTTGAAGCAGGGTTTGAAAAACCCAGTTTTCCACAGAGAATGACAGCACTTCCCTCTCCCTGTCTGGAAACCAAGAACCTGTCAGACTGCTGGTGCAGATTCTCCAGCTCTGGTCTCTCATCATAGGTAGACTCAGGTTAGGATTTCAGCTGTTCTAGGCCAATCATCTTCCACGTGACAGAAGTTGTGGTTTGATTTTGTCTCTTTTGGTCGCCTTTTTGAGGAATCACCTGATTTGTTGTGGGACTGAGCGTTTCCCTGGCAAAATCCAGGGTCCCTGCCAGTCTCTGCTGTTGAAGACCGAGTACACCAGGGCGCGGGGCTGTCACACGGCCGAGGAAGCCTCCCGGGGCAGTTTCAGTGACCGCGGGAGATTCACCCTGACTCACTGGGATGACAACATCAGCTGTCACAAATATGAAGAGAATCATGTAGCAGAACAGCATTGACATCCATTTCATAACTTGCTGTCTTTAATGAAACTGGATAATTATAGCTAAGTGCTGGCTATGCCACCGCTGATATTTGTGTTTTACATCGATCTCGCTGAGCAGGCGTCGCCCTCTCCGCGGAGGCGGCGCTCACCGCTGCCCCCAGGCACAGAAAGGCGCCTCTCAAACAGGCTCCCCCTGCCCGAGTGGTACGGCCGCGCCTCCCTCCCCCCTCCCGTGGCGCCCGGTGGTTGCTGCTGACGGCGGCGCCTGCGCAGAGAGCGCCCGGCGGCAGCGGGCGGTGCTGAGGGACCGGCGGGTCGAGCCGGGTCGGGGCCTCCCAGGCGGGTCGGACCGGGCCGGGAGTTCCTGGGGGAACGGGCAGGGCAGTCCCGGAGCTGGGAAGGGCCGTCCCGTCACTGCGGGCAGCGCTGTGGGTGAGGAGCGGGGTTTGTGCGTCGGGGCCGGTCCCCAGGTGTGCGTGAGGGGCTCGGCGGCCCCGGGGGCTCGGGAGGGTTGCCAGGGGCGTCGGTGCCGTGTCTGTGCGGGGCCGGAGGAGCTGGCACGGCCCGGCTAGAGCCAGGGCTTGCCGCAGTGGGTCGCGCTGTTCAGGGCCTGGTCCTGCTGTGGGGTTGGTGTGTTTTGCCCTGGTTTTCCCCGAGGAGACTGGGGAGGTTGCTGGGACTTGGAGTTGGTCTCTCCAGCTGTGGTGCCGTGGGGTGAGGAAGGGCCTTCGGGGCTCCCGGCCATGCCCTCCTTGTAGCGGGGCACCTGCGGGCAAGGGGCAGGGCGAGTAGGGCAGCACGGGCACGGTGGTGGTGGCATTTGCTGCCTGCTGAAGCACGGCGGGAGCTTCTCGCCCTGCCCTCGGTGGTCTTTGTGGCCTTTTCGCTTGCGATCACCTGAGTCCAAACGCACAGTGGTGCTCAGCACTCACAGGCTGCGGCGGGGGTGGTGGTCGTGCTCATATCACCTATATGGTTCATAAAACGAGCTGGAGTTCAAATATTTCAGTATTATCTGGCTTCCCCCCCCCCCTCAAGCCTTTGTTTTTGAACTACGGTGTGTTCAGGACGTTCCAGACAACTTGAGGCACTTAATGCTGAGCTGTTCAGCTAATTACACTGATGTTGCTAATAATATGTAAGAGTGTTGCTTGTCTGAATTCCACACCCTTTTTCCATTTTTGATTTATTTTTTTTTTAGAAAGAGGCTTAATGTTCAGAAACTGATTGCAGAGTCTTGTTTTGAGCCATGATCATTACAGCCCCTTTTTGGTGTAAGTGGTCCCCCTTACTGCATTAGTTTTCTGTGGTTTTATATCCTGGATCTGTATTTGAGATTCTGAATTGCACCCAAAGCTATGGCAAATGCTGTAAAATCAGTGTGGGAAAAGCAGGGGAGTAGGACAATAACTGTGCAATGCTGTTGAAATAAAAGTTTCATAAGTAACAAAACAGGGTTTGCTTCTTGTATTTTCTTTTCCTCTTTCTTGCCTTTCTACTTGACCCTCTTCTGCTTTTGCTTCAGTGCATTACTTTGAACTAGTAGGGACTTCACGGGCCAGTTGGGAATCTTGTTGCTTATGTTTTTTTATCTGTCTACCTGTGTTTGGGATGACTGTGCCTAATAGCAGCAGGACCAAAGTCATAACTGCAGTGGATGTGAGCCCTCTATGGTTTTGAGTCTATATATATGAGCGTACTTAAAAATTCATTAAATTTTTTTATCCTTGTTCCAGATGGAAGAGTTCATGCTTACTGGTTTGCATAATAGCAGAGGCTAAATAGGCATGAAGGAGACTATAGTGGGGATGAGAAGTGTCCAAAGAGAAGAAATGAATCCTACAAATGATGATCCAGTGTTTGGGACTATTTTTGACTGGGACTATCTCTTATGGGAAATTCGTTTGACATTTTTAGTTGCTGGTTTTTTAATCTATTTGGGAGTATTTCTTCTGTCTCACTGGTTGTCTTCCTGGAGAAGTACCACTTACTGTGCCTTGTCTGCAAAGGAGAAGGTGTTCTGGAATATGGCAGTCACACGTGGTGTCTTTGGACTTCAGAGTTGTGTTGCTGGGTTATGGGCTTTGCTCATAGATCCCGTTTTTCATGCTGACAAAGTCTATTCTCAGCAAAAGTGGAGTTGGTTTAACTGTTTAATAGCAGCTGGATTTTTCTTGCTTGAAAATGTAGCAGTTCATGTGTCCAACATTATTTTTAGAACATTTGATGTTTTCTTAGTAGTTCACCATTTGCTTGCTTTTGGTGGCTTGGCTGGTTTAGTAATTAATGTGAAATCTGGACATTATCTGCCTTTGATGGGAATGTTACTGGAGATGAGTACTCCCTCAACGTGCATTTCCTGGATGCTTCTGAAGGTAAGAATGTGATAATTTTCAGATTATGTTTGTAACAGTTTTCATGTGTTTCACTTGTCCATAGATAATATGTGTGGTTTGCTGGATAGGTTTTCATCAAAACTGCACTTATCCAGCTGATACCTGTGTGATTGTCATACCTGCTTTGTCATCATGGCACTTGTGCAGGCCTCCAGGTCGGTTTGTGTGCTGCTGTGTGCACAGTGGGGTGGTATAGATCCATACCAAGTTTAAGATTCCATTATATATATGTGGAGTAACATTGCACTATGAGGAAAAAATGCCTGAGAGTGTTTGTATATAAGAGCTGGGTGTTTGTATTAGTTCTGTAGATTCCTCAGTTCCTTATCTTGAAGCAACAGTTTCACTTCTGCATACTTTGTGTTCTTGTTTTTCTAGGCTGGCCGTGCTAACACCTTTTTCTGGAAGGCAAACCAGTGGGTGATGATCCATCTGTTTCACTGCCGCATGATTCTTACCTACCACATGTGGTGGGTGTGCATTTTCAACTGGAGTTCCATTGTAGAAAACCTGGGACTTCTTCACTTTATTGTTTTATTCTCGGGATTATTTGCTGTTACACTAATACTTAACCCATACTGGACATACAAAAAAACTCAGCAACTCCTCAGCCCAACTGACTGGAACTTTGAAAATAAAGCAGTGGAAAATGGAAAATTGAATGGTGAAACACATGAAAAGAAGAGGATGTAGCACTCAAACAAAGTTTCCCAGCAGGGTAACAGAAGAATGCAATGCAAAGCCATTCTTTGCACGTGAAGTAGATTTTGCAAGAAGCTCATTGATGCAGTGACTCGTTGCTGGTAGCACTCTGAGTGCATCACAAGTGTTGAAAAGCATTATTTGTATTTATTATGTGTATACATATAAGAACTTCAACCCTCATTATGGATTACACCAACAATTTGTCAGGTTGGACAGTATTTCATAATTTAGCAATGATGTGCTCCCTAGTGGCATGGTTTTTTCCCTAATGCTTCAAAGTGGCTTTACAGTAAGTCATTTATTAAGCTCAGCTTGAATCAAGTTTAGCTTGAATCCTATTTAACATATGGTAGAGATACTGAAAATTATGTTAAATTGTGTATTAAGATCAATTATGATCCAAGTTAGGTATGCATAGGTACCTAATTCCTGTGTGCCAGTGAATCATTCCAAGTGGCAGAACTGGTCAGTGGTAGAATGCATTTGTGGCCCAGGTTTGGGTTTTTTTGTTGGTTGGTTTCTAGGTTTGGGATTTTTTGGGTATTGTTTTTTGTTCTTTTTTTCTATTAAGCACACTTAAGAAACAAGGAAAATAATTGAGTGTTTGCTGTCAAAGTTGTTGTTTTCAGGTTGCCCTCAGTATGGGAGGAGTTTATATCCACCAAAACCATCCATGTAGAGATCCACGCATTTGCCATTTGTGTGGTTTGGTGGGTAATCATAGTGGCCCCTTCTGGACCTTAAATCAATGTAATACAAGTGCTAACACCAGAAGGTGACTCTGTGTCATCCTTGAAAAAAAATGTTCTTGATTAGTAAAATTGTTTTGTTTGTATGTCCCGTGTGAGGGGTCATGCAGTTAGTTCCACTAGTGCTTCTGTTATGGTTCCTCTCATTTTTGGGAATGCACTTAGTTTTAGATGGTTTCAGAATCTGAGGTGATTCCTTGATGGAGGAAGGCCTGTATCACCCCCTGTAGGAGTTTGGTTGTTTTAATATTTTTATTTAACTTTAAAGAACATACCAAGCAACACTAACAATCCTTTGCACTTTATCTGCCACATCACAAAAATCTTTCCTTTACCTGAGAAACTGGGTTGCTCTTTAGATAGGGACTAATGGTGACTGATGTTCTCCTGCTCGAGATACTGGTTTGATGGTTCCTGGATAAAGATCACGATAGAAGAGAGTGACACCTAGTGGTAGGAGAATGACGGGGTATTCGTTTTGGTGCCCGGAACAAATGAGATTTCAAAAAGTGGTTAATTGGAACCCTGTGTAACATGACTGCCACACAGATTTATTTGCCAAAGCATTAAGACTGCCCAAGCTGTGAAGAATTTTACATCAAGCAATTTTACATAATCTCTACAATTAGAGACTTTGTGAACTGATCTGTGGTGGAGCATATTGTTTTAAATGTGTGAGGGAAGCAGTCTTTGGTGTAAACAGTCCCATTTTGGTGGGAATGTCTTTCATTTGTTCTGAGTGAAAGGAGTGGTTGGGTTGCTGCATTCCCTAATTCACTCTGTGTGAGCCGAGAGTTGAATTGCTGTTCTGTGATGGGGAGCAATCCTCTTTCTTTAGCTCACATATAGGCATATACATAGGCAGATCTTATTGATAATGATAATGATGAGGTGGTGAATATCTGAAGTTGCCCATTCAAAACCAGGCTGAGAGGGTCACAATAATTTTACACAGCAACCCTGTCTGATATTGTGCTGCTATTTAATAGATAAAATCTAAATTTGGAGCGATCTTATTTTTATGCTGAGCAGAATAGAGTTGCAGTGTTGCCTGCCTGGGCACCATCCTATGGTAAAAAGGGTTCTCAAAAGTTTGAAATTGTGTACCTGTCTGAAGCAGTTGTATGTGGGAGAGTAATGTTAAAAGCACTTTGGAAGAAACCAGAGAGATGAATTCCTTGGCTATGGAAAAATTATCTGAATGCATATCTTGCAGAATCCAAACCTCACTTGCAGGAGGTCCAGGGAGAAAGGCAGAGAATAAGTCATCAGGTATCAGAATGATGATGTACTCTATGAAGCTTAAAACTTGAAGGTTTGGATTCAGTAAAACAAGGTAATAATTTTTAAAATCTCAGCCACAGAATTCTGAAGAATTCTAATAGAAAATGGAAACATCAGAAGAAGTTTGGGATGAGTGTGTAATTCTTATAGTGGCTGGCTAAAGAATGTGAAGTCCCTATATGCTAAAATAAAAGAATATGGAGGGTGGGGGTTAGTAGTGAATTGAGACTGAAAAAAGATAGGTGGAAATTTATGTCATAGCACCTGATGTCTAAAGTTTAATATTTTATATTATTAATGTGTATAACTTTATTAATTGAATTTTAAATCTTTCATTAAAATTATGTTTTTAACATCATAATGCAGTTTTTTAGTTTGCATCCTAGTTTTTTCACAAAAAGACTGTAAGGGTTTGCATGTCTTAACTGTATAATGAATGATACTTTAGAGCCCCTGTGAACCTAAACACTCGTAGACCTGCTAGAACAAGAAAGCTGTGCAATAAAGCAAATACCAGCACTTACTTTATTTCTGTTGGTTTAAGAATACTTTACAGTCCAGCTAAGAATACAACACAACAAAAATACAGACAACCTTTCTTCGTCCTTTTCATGGCATTTTCATGTGTTGGAGTTACCAGTTCTGTTACAGAGCCTCTTTTTTTTATACTTAAGTATAAAAGGACCCTTTATAAGGGCATGTAGGGAGTGATAGGACAATGGTAATGACTTTAAAACTAAAAGAGGGGAGAGTTAGATTATATTAGGAAGAAATTGTTCCCCATGAGGGTGGTGAGGCCCTGGAACAGGTTGCCCAGAGAAATTGTGGATGCCCCATCCCTGGAAGTGTTCAGGGCGAGGTTGAATGGGGGCTTGGAATCAACCTGGGGTAGTGGAAGGTGTCCTTGCCTACAGCAGGAAGGTTGGAAGTAGATAATCTGTAAGGTCTCTTCCAATCCCAGACTTCTGGGATTCTTCAGTGTCTATTGACTGCTCCCTTTAGGAGGATTTTCTGGTTTATTATTGTGGAAGTCACATTGCACTGAAACAAGTCAGAGAAAGTTCTTGAACTGAGGGTTTTGGTACTTATAACTAAGTGATCCTTTTCAGCCTAAAGGTAGAGTTGCTGTATGTGGTTGTAAATTTTGTTGAAGTGAAATTAATATCAGTCCTGTTGGGCCTTCTTACACAGCCTTATCCACAAACCACAATTTAGAAAAATTCCGTCAGCTTCCATAGTGGTTGGATTGGGTCACAGAGTTTGCTGCTGTGCATTTGGAAAAATTGCATAACAGGATTTTGGGTGAATTATTTGTTTGCCAAGGTGACTGCTAGGGACTTGGCTCTGCTTTCTTGTTGAACAAGCTTATTTGAGGAGTGGTGTTCGTGTCACCTTTCTGAAGCTTTTTTTTTTTAAACCCAAGCAACAAAAACCCAAATCAGCAAACTGTGGTGGGGATAATGGTGTTCAGTTGATTTGGTTTGGTTTTTAAGTTTTTTTAAAGATGTCTGATCTGAGACGTGCTTGTCCAGTCATCTGGTTCTTACATCTTCATACAACATTCATACATCACAGTTTGTGTTTTCCTCCATTTCTAGCCTATGTTTTTTTTTCCAAAACTTCTCATTGTTCCCCCTTGAACCCACCATTTTAAAATTTTTATTCTTACTTGCAGTACTGGTCATGATCTTGGAGTCACATTACCACTGTGACATTTTTGTCTAGTAGTGTTAGGCCTATCTTCCACTAAATATCCATGTGCAAATCTTTCAGAGTGTTTTTGTGTTTTCCTGATAACATGGATTAAATATTGATGTGATATGTAGTTATAAGAAACCTTCTTTAACCTCAGGGAGACTCCCCCTTAAAGTGAATTTAAAAGTATTAAGCAAACTTAAGTATGCTCTTGTACAAGATAATGTTTGTTGAAAAGCATCTTTACACTGTACATAAATAAAAGTATTTTATTGAATAGCTGTCTATTGTGATTTTCATTTCCTGATTAAAATAATGCCTGTTATTTTTTACTTGCTTAAACAGTTTTTGCAGTGCATGCACTAAAATGATTTATTTTGAAATGCTAAGTGTGACAAAGGTAATGTCATATTCATGGAAATAGCTATAAAAATCTTGTAAACCAATTTCCCTTCACCAGCATTTCATGTGTTATTCCCATAAGCATGTTTGGAACACTTGAAGCTGTGCTATGTGTGTATTCAAAACAGTTAAAAAAACATCTCTTGGGGATGACCCTTCTGGCGTTGGGTATTTGAAGTGTGTGGTCCAGTTTTGCATTAGGTTCTGACTGTGAAGACACTTATTTGGTATCACATGATACTTCATAGTTTAGTATAAGCTACCTTAAATAAACAACAAAAACACAAACAGAAAGACCAAAAACTTATCCCATTACAAAATAGTAAAATACAGTTCTGAGCATTTCTTTCAGAATGTTTTTCAGGAAATGATTCCTGATGCTTTTTAGTTTAGTGAGTCCAAGGAACCCAGCATCATTACTGGTATTTTAATTATTGTTATAAGAATGCACAGTACAAGCAAGTGGTTGGCTGCCTCTGCAGTAAAGAACCCGAGATTAATTGAAGCAGAAGCAAGACATTCATGTGTACAGCTCCACTGACTGTGAGATGTGTGTGGGTACAGAGTGGGAGACTGGGATGAGAAGAACTATGTATAATAGTGTTTGTATGAGTAAAGTCTTCCCTTTTTTTCTTTTTTTTTCCTTTTGGTAAATGATCTGTAAGATTAATTTAAATGTTATTGTTTTGCTACTCAGGTGTTTCAGTAAATAGGTAAATACATTCTACTTGGTAGTGTTAAACATATTCTCAGAAAAATATTGGAGCAGACTTGAGCCAACAATGTTACACAGCAATTACAGTGTTTTGGTCTTGTGTCATTGCACTGTTACTTAAATTGGAACAAAAACTGCAAGCAGTGGTCATTAATGAAGTAAACTATGCCTGTTGATGTCATCAGCCCCCAGATACGTTTCCAGTGTTGGAGGAGACATTTCATGCACTGGATCTGATTGACTAATTGGCATGTCCCGCTAGTGGTGAGTGTTCTGCAGCACATTGTGCCTTCTGCTTTTCCCTAAGTTGCACACTGGTGAGTGGGGTGGAAAGATGATGATACAGCAAAGGCTGTAGCAGACCTTGTTCTTAGTTCAAGGTGTCAGGCAGGCCAAGCTTGGAAGGACTGGGGCCTGCTAGCCTGTCCACAAAAAAAAAAGCAAAGAAATTGGCTGAGGCATTGCTTGCTGCTATTGTGTGTCTGTATTCTGAGAGCCACCTAGGGTCACTTCTGAGTCCTTAGGAATATGACCTGAGCAGAGAGAGTGGAAATTTAATACTAGCTTTGTCAGATGCATTACGTCTAGTTTGAAATTTTTATTTCCTTGTGTGATTGTAGCTGCCTCTGCTCCTTTGCTCACATTAGCGTGCTGTATAAGCTGAGAGTGTTTTCACCACTCTGTCCTCAATGTAAAGAATTGTGAGGTTTTAGTATTGGTAATTGATTCTGGTAGCTCCAGATACTTGCTTGTATTTATATATCACTGTAAAGATCTGCAACTTCCTTCTCTTGCATTGCTGCTTGTAATGCTAAAAGCAGTTTACCAGTGAACACTGCATTTTGTTACCAAAGTTGTGCTCATTCAAGTTTAAGCATGGGGCTTGCAACAAGAAGGGGACAAAAAATACCTGATGGAGCACTAAATTTGTAGAAGGTAGCTGAATTTGCTCTGTTTTTGAACCTTGCAGTTCTGCTGTCAGGATCTTTTAAGTGTAAATCAAGGTATCAAATCTATGATACCTTGAAAAACAAAGTCATGCAGACAAACTACAGAAGTACATAGAGTACTTTTGTATGGAGGTTTGCATAGAGTAGGCATATAGCATCCAACAAGAGCTTGTTCATCTTGTTTTGTGGGTCACATTTACAGGAAGAAAGTGTATCCTGGAAAGCAGCAGTAGCCTTCCTAAGCACTCATTAAGAATTAAATCAGAAAAAAGCTCAGAGACTTTCGGGTGAGGGAGATAGAACTGGTTGGTACATTGTATACTGCTGACCAGGTTGTGGTTACATATTGAAGGTGTAGTTTTTCTAACGCTATAACTCTTCCTTTTTTCTCTCAGCATTGTTTTGAGTATTACTGTGACACTGGTTGAGGCTAAGTTTAAAAACTTTTTAGGACATCAAAATTGCTAAGCAATATATTGCCCTAGGCTGAAAGAGCCTAAAGTCTGTTCTAATTTAAAGTAATTTATTCTTGTGTCATCATTGCCTTTTTATCTTACATAATTATTTTTTACCCCTGGAGACTCTTTTGCATATTCATGCATACAAATCGATCTACTCTTTTGTTTTCCTAATCCATCCTAATACTCTTTGCTTGTCGCTTTTCCCACTTGAATTCCTTTTTACTACGTGTTGGCAGCTTAGAGTTTTACATAGTATTTGATATAAAATTTTCTCAGAATCTTGTATTACACTAGTATTACCTCCTTTCCTTCCCTGGGAACAGTTCTGCTTTGGCCAAAAGCTGCATTTGTCTTTCAGGGTTGCATGGCCTCAGTGCTTTGTGGTGCTCCTGAGAGGAAATTCACTTAAGTTTTTCCCTTTATCAGCTTCAGGATGAAGAAGAGGCATCAGAGAGCAGTGAAATAACTGAAAGTAGGAATGTTATGTTATAGAAACAACTTGTGCATATGACTGTTGGGGGTGCAGGCGCCCAGGGCTGGCAATGGTGGTGGCTCTATGAGGGGAGCCAGCGCTGCCCCAGCCAGACACAGCCAGTTCTGGCTGGACACAGCTGGACACAGCCAGACACAGCCGGTTCCAGCCAGATCCAGCTGCCCACTGCAGGGCGTGGCTGAGCCATGGCAGGGGCTCCATGGGGAAACACAGGTAAAGAAGGGCAAAAAATGCTGCACAGGAGTGAGGAGAACAAAGTGAAAGAAATATCTCTGCAAGCATCAGGTTCAGTGAAGAAGGAGGGGGAGAAGCTGCTCCAGGGCACCAGAGCAGATTCACCTGCAGCCCACGGAGGGGGCCCTGAAGGAGCAGGTCTATCCTGAAGGACTGCAGCCTGTGGGAAGCACCCACACTAAAGCCGAGGAGAAATGAGAGGAGGAAGAAGCACTGGGAAGAGCTGTTATTGACTGACCACAACCCCCGTTCCCATCCCACTGTGCCCCTTGGGCTGGAGGAGGCCAAGGAGATGGGAATGCACTGATGTTGAGCCTGGTGTGAGGGAAGAACAGAGAGGGCAGGGTCTTTTTAGTTTTGTCTCTGTTACCATCTCATTTTTAATTTTAATTGACAAAAAATAAAATTTCCCCAAACTGAGTCTGGCCCATGACAGTAGTTGCTAAGGGATCTTCTTGTCTTCATTTTGACCTACAAGATTTCCATATTATTTTCTCCCCCAGTCCTGCTGACAAGGGGGAATGAGAGAGCAACTGGGTGAGGGTCTGGTTGCTGGTCAAGGTCAACCCATCACAAGAAGTTATGGCATCAGCTGTACTATCACTTATGTACCTATTTTAACAAGGAGATGATGTAACACAAGGGCTTTGCTCCTGAGAAATATTCAAATATAGGAAAATTTATACCTAGTCTGTCTGAATTGGCAGTCTGAGAATTTGACTTGCAAATACTCCTTGTAAAAGAAGGAAATTGAAATGAAATGCATTAATGAAAGACGTTCTAGTGTTGGTAAAAGATCACAATATTATAAAATTGAATTGTCAGGTTAACCTGTGCTAGTGTGTTCAGAACTGAGGAACTGTCTCCTCAGGGTGCTTCAGGAAGATGTGGAAGATGAGTCAACAGTAGGCATCAAAGCAGAATATGAATAAGCAGCGTTTTTATAAACCCAAATGTTATTTTTGATGTAATAGTCTGAATTTAGGAAAACTGTGGTTTGCTTTTATTTTTTAAAATATATATTATATTGTATGTATTATATTTATAAATAAAAAAATATACTGTCACTCAGTCTGGTTTGGTAAGAAAAGTAGAGGGGACCTGTAACTTTGCAAGGCTCCAGTGTTTGTTCTGCAAATGCTCAGGTTAAGCAAACTCATTGGGTGCCCTGGCTTGGAGTGGTTTCTGAGGGATTACAGTAAGCAGATGACACACTGCCTTCATGGGGAACACAGGAACAACAGAATTTCCAGAATTTCCCCAGGAAAAAGTGCCAGCTACATCACCTATTAAATGGAAGAATCTGAGAAAACTGGGCTTTCCTGGGAACTTGATAACTTAAATTTTAGTTGTTTTGTTCAGATGCCATGCAGTATTTTGGAAAGCAAGTTATCGGAATGATGTCTTTAGGTGCCACAAATTTAGGTGTACATTCAACCATGCCAATTTCCAAGGAGTAAGAAAAAAGGCATCCCACCTTCATGGCATTGTGTCACAGGGAATCAGGATGCTGGCCAGGGATGATGGTGTCCTGAAGATGCCCGGTCCATGGGCTGGAGTAGGTGGATGGTGTAGATGTATGGTGAGGATGTGTGGGATAGATGACCGATGTGCAGTAGCTTGGAGGCAAAGCATCTTTGCTGAAGCCTCAGGAATCAGAAATGAGAGCAAGTAAATTTTGGTGAGGTCTCATGTGAGTATCACCAGTAAAACCAATTTAAACATCAACTTAGACTCTGGTTATAGAAAGCATCATGTTAACAGTGGAGTACAGCCATTATCTGTACTCTAATTATCAACAACTAATTATGGGTGGATAAATAATGAATTTGTGATTGCAATGATTAGGGTGCTAATTATTACTGCTAATAGGCTGTTGCCTTATAAAACAGTAGGAAAGTGCAAGTTATTTTGAAAGTTAGTTTTTATAAGTAGATCTGTTATTGCTGGATTTATCCAACAAGGTTTCCACAGCAACATTTATTGGAATATATGTATGGTCACCAGAATCAAAAGAAGGAG